AAGTGCGGCCGGTTTTTAATTTTTAATTTTTAATTTTGAGAGGAGCTGTTCCTTCGGTTGTTAAAGTGCCCAGGATGGGCTCAAACGTGCAGTACTCGTGCCTTAGCCTTCCAGAGTGCTGGGAGGCTCCTCCAGGGTGCCCAGGACATTGTTGGTACTCACACCTGTTCAAAGCAGGTTGTCTCCACGCCTACCATAAGGGCCATCTGTCCTCATCCTCCTACTACGTGGAGCAGTCACCAGCCCCTCACCGGGTTTAGAGCAGTGTCTGGCTTCAGCAGCCTCTCCTGAGAAGTCACCCTAGGAGGACTTCACTGTACATTGTTGCAGTTGCCCGCGTTGCTTTACTAGGGTTCCACGCACAGAGAGACCATCTGATGCCAGGGTCAAATGGACCAGATACTCACTAGAAGCCTGATTTTAGGTGTGCACAGCGGGGTGTGTATGTATAAACTCAGCACACTGGGAGGCTGAGGCAGGAGGATCACAAGTTCAGGTCCCACTTGGGGAATTTACCAAGGTCCTATCTCGAAATAAGCCAGGTGTGGTAGCATATCTGTGTAATCCCGTCATTCAGGAGGATCAACAGGGGCTCAAGGCCAGCTGCATAGTGAGTTCAAGAACTTCGTAGTGACCCCTGTCTCTAAATAAATAATAAATGAATAAGCGCTCTTTGGCTGTAGCTGCGTGGAAGAGTGCACCTGGGTTTTGATCCCTAGTACCACACACACGGAAAAGCATTATTTATGACGTGTTTTCTTCTGAGGCAGGCAGGGCCTTAAAAGTGGTTTTTGCTAAAAATAAAATAAACAGGTCTCCTCGCTTGGACCTGTGGACACCTGCTGATAACTAGAGGAGAACAGGACGTGACTTTCATTCGCTGTGTAAAACTTTGGGTCAGGTCCTCCCAAGGCCTTCGGAGGGCAGGTCAGTCCTTTTGGGGTCTGTCCTGGAGTGGGAGGCTCAGGGTTATTAGCCCTGAGCTTATCCTGCCTGTCTTGAGCACAGTCAAGACAGACAACAGGGGAAGAGCTGAGCAGGGACAGTGTCCCCTGCAGCCTTTGGTCACCTGGACCTGGTCACCTGGATTCCAGCAAAGCCTCCCAGGCCTGCCCCTCCAGCGATGCGGGTCCCTCTGGGGAAACAAAGGACCCTAAGTCAGCAGGACCCCACCACAGTTGCTCAACAGGGCTGAGATAACCAGGCACCAGCTACCTCTGGGGAACTCATCCCTTCCAGCCACTGAGCCAGCCAGGCTCTTCCTGTCTCCGCATACCTTCTTCCAGTTACAGCAGATTCCTACAAATTCCTGCTTTCCTTTACATTTCCACTGTCACTAACCCAAGGCCCCACACAAGCTGGGAGCAAGAGCAAGATTTTCTTTTTCTTTTTTTCTTTCTGCATCATAAGGTGATTTTATTCTTTTTCGTGTGTGGAGTATTACCTGTACTGTTTTCCATAGTGGCTGTACTAATTTAGGTGCCTGCTAACAAAGTACATGTTTCTTTTTCTCTCTCTCTCTCATTGAGTTTGTTGGTACATTTTAGGGATACAGTACAGTTACATAAATCATGGGGACTTTGTACCTTTACATGACAGATCTTGGTTCTCATTTTTTCTCCTTGTCCCTGCCCTCTCTTCACCCTCTCCTCCCTTCCCTGTTTACAAATACTTTATTTCCATTTTTTCATTTTCCCATATTTTTTTCCTTTCCCTTATTACCTTTCCTCTACCCTTCCCACTTTCCCTACACCTTTAGCCCTTTTCTTCCTATTTCACATTGTCAATTATCTCATTAGGATCAGAGAAACTATTTGGTATTTATACATGTGTGACATTTATTTCGTTTAGGAGTATATCCTCAATATGTATCCATTTTCCTATGAATGACTAATTTCTCATTCTTTATGGCTATCAAGAAATCAACCAATAACAAATGTTGACAGGGTTGTGGGGAGAAATGAACCCTTGAACCCTTCTCCATTGTTGGTGGGAGTGCAGACTGGTGCAACCATGATAGACATCAATATGGAGATACCTCAAACAGCTGGGATTAGAGGTTCCATTTGACCCAGCCATCCCTCTGCTGGGTATCTTCTGAAAAGAATTAAAAGAATTATATCACAGTGATATATGTGCACCCAAGTTTACAGTGGCACAGTCTGTAATAGCTAAAACTTGGAGACAGCCCATTTGCCCATCAGTTGGAGACTGCATAAAGAAGATGTGGTTTTTCTATAAAATGGAATACTACTCAGCTATAAAGAATGAGGAATTAGAGTCTTTTTTAAAAAAATAGTAAAACATCTATTGGTACATTTTAGGCAGACAAAATGATAACACTCATCATTGGGAATGTGCATCTGCATGTGGTACATCCCGCCCTTTTTCCCCATTACTCTCTCCATATTGTACACAGCGTTGTACATTGTATTGAAATACAGCACAAATAAATTGACTTTTACCTTGGTGACACGTTTATCCCATTTAAATGACTAGTCAAATCAAAAACTACAAAACTGGTGAGGAATTTTCAGGTTCCTTGATTCCATAAATAGCAGTATCGTTTCAAAATTCACAAAATCTTTTCAGCATTTTACTCCAACTTGGCTACCCCACTTCAGAAAAGTGATGGCCCAAAATCAGCATTCTTACTCTTTTTTTTAACGTTTCAAAACATTTATTGTTGACCCATTAGTGTAATCACAGAACAAGATCCCTGATTAAGCACGAAAAATAAATATGGATCACTTCACAAATTTGCATGTCATCCTTGCGCAGGGACCATGCTAAACTTTTCTGCATCGTTCCAATTTTAGTATCTGTGCTGCCAAAGCGAGCACAGCATCCTTACTCTTAAGGAACTTGTGGAATTGGTGATTCAATCCCTAGGACCTCATGAAATTACAGCTTTGATAATGATTTGCATAACATCTTTTTGTTGTTGTTTTTTGAGACAGGGTCTCCTTACATAGTTCAGGCTAGTCTTGAACTATTTGAACTCATGGGATTCTCCTGGCTCAGCCTCCCGAGTACTGGGATTATAGGTGTGCACCACCATGCCTAGCTCCCATAACATCTGTTTTAAAGCTTGAATGTCCTTGATGTATGATCCAGCACTATTTTATCAAATGTGACTCACCAGCAACAATTGCATCACCTCTTAATAATTTATAAATACCTCTTCTTTTTCTTTTGTTTTTTGTTTGCTTTTTTGTTTTTTGGTACCGGGGATCAAACTCAGGACCTTGTGCTTGTGAGGCAGGCATTGGAACCACTGAGCTAAGCCCCTAAACCTTAGAGCTTTATTTTAATGGCATCAAAGAAACCATTTCTTCAGTGATACTATATTAATAATGTATAACACTGCTAATTAAAAACAGCAAGTTGAACCTCTCAAATCTTTTTCAGTAGATTTTCCCCCATTGCCTTGGTTCATCTGGCTATAGTCTGGTGAAACAAACTGATTTACAGAAATTTAGCAGGGTGCCTTATTTCCTTCAATAAAAAAGCATTCATCCATTTTTCACTGAAGACTCTTCCTTCTTCCATTTTTCCTTTGTGATGTTCTTTCTTCTTTTGAGATGATGATGATGAAGCCATTCTGGAGCTCTGAGTCTTTAAGTCCCTGTGCACCCGCCTCACCCGGAGGTGGTGGTGACCCTGGCCCTCAGAGCCTCTGGGTGACAGAAGCACCAGCAGTCAAAGTTTGTTTACTGTCAACATGGAAATCATGGCTGGGTGTGCAGAGCTGAAGGGTCCACTGTCGCTCATGGCACTTCCGGCCCAGGTACCTGGAAGAACAACCTCATAGACACCCCCACCTCCCCACCCGCAGCCTTGGCAGCGTGACCACGGGTCGGGGGGGGCTCCCCCTAATCCTGCCTTCCCCTGGACCACCTCTTTTGGGGTTTTTTGAGACAGGGTCTCACCGTGTGGTCCAGACTGGCTGTGAACTCACTATGTAGTCCAGACAGGCCCGGAATTCATGGCGATCTTACTGCCTCAGCCTCCAGAGTGCTGGGATTACAGGCGTGCGCCATCATACCCAGCCTCTTAGCAGGTTCTGATAAAGCCAGAATCTGGCTTTTCTTATGAGTTTCCTCATCGACACATTGGTGAAAACATATCTTAATCATCTGTGAACTTTTTTTTTTTTGTACTGGTACTAAACCTGGGTCTTTGCACTGAGCTCCATCCCCAGATCTTTATATTCAAGGGCTTTTTTAAATTTTGAAACAGGGTCTCGCTGAGTTGCCCAGAATAAGGTCCTACTTGCAGTCCTCCTGCCTCAGCCTCCTAGAGTGCCGGATGAGACATGTTCACTGCCATGCCTGGCCTTTCTCAGGAATGTTTCTGAAGTCAAAGCCTGACCCTCGGTGAGAGCAAGACAATGAATGTGGTTTTTAAAACACCCGTCCTCCCAGCTGACCTCAGGAATCATGGTTCTCAAACTGTCCAAATCAGCAACTTCAAATATGAGCATCTCCTTTTAAGGTCAAGCTGATGTGGGCAGCCGGGTGTGGTGGCACATGCCCGCAATCCCAGTGCTCAGGAAGCACCCCATGCAGCCCGGGCTCACGGTGATCCTACGTCAAAGTGGGAAGGAAGAACATCCAGCCTCACTACTTGGAATTCTAACTTTGCACTGAGCTACATCCCCAGCCCTTCTGAGACAAGGTCTTTCAAAGTCACTAAGTTGCCCAAACTTGGCTTGAGTTTAAATCCTCCTGCCTCAGCCTCCCGAGTAGCTGGAATTACAGGTGTGTGCCATCACTCCCCGCTTCATTCTCTATCTTAAATATTTATTTTCTTAAAAAAAAAGAATGTCATTTGTTTTCTTCCACAATTTTATCCCTTTTATGCCTTTACAAAAGCCTGATTCAGTCACTCAGATAATCACTAGCAGTGGAGGGGGTTGGGGTGGGCAAAGCTGGGGCAGAGATGTCTCCTGGTTAGAAGATGGGGAAGGTTTTACTTTTGTCATTTTGAGACAGGGTGTTAAAATGAGAAAACAAAGGACAGAGCAGACACTAACAGTCTCAAAGCTTGACGGAGAATGCCTCGGGGCTGCCCCTCCTGCCACACCCATGAAGGGCACTGTGCCAGGAAGACGAACTGCTGGGACCACAGCTGCCTGCCTCTGTCTTCCAGATAAACTGTAAAAGCAGCGTCTGCCTGTTCCCCCCTGCCCTGTAAATTCATGCTCGCTTCCCCACCTGGCCTAAAGAGCAAGATAAAGACGAAAACAAATTTAGAATCAAGCCTCAGTCTGGCAGGTGACTTCCACAGAGTCCACTAATGGGTATAAATAAAACTGCTTTCCTTCAACTCTCCGAGCACCATGCTCTTCCTTGGTCTGCCTGCCCTCGGGGTATGCAACAGCCTCACTATGCAGCCCTTGAACTCACAGTGACCCTCCTGCCTCAGCCTCCCCAGTGCTGGGATTACAGGCTGCCCCTGTGCTCCATCCCCATGGAAATTTTCACAGCTTCTCAGGGGAAGGCATGGAACTCTACAGCTGTGCCCAGAGTGTGGGAGGGTGCGAGGGAGGTGGGGTGAGAGTGGAGGCCATGCTGAACAGTCTTCTAGGAGACCAGAAGGCCCAGGAGGTGACATGGAGAATGCCCCGAATCTGCTGGGCACGGCCAGGGTGCCACTACACAGCGTGACTCCATCAGGTATGCAGGGGTGGGTCCAGTGTAGGAAGTCACTAGATTTAATAAGGGCCTGTGATTCCCAGCACACTGGGAGGCTGAGACAGAGCATGGCCTGGGCAATTTAGCAAGACCCCCATTTCCAAAACTAGAAAAGGCTGGGGATAGAGCTCAGTGTGAAGGCCTACAGGGAGGCTGTGTTCTCAGGACAGGTCTGGCCTTTCTGTGTGAAACGGTTGTGGGAGAAGCACTGGAAGAGACAGGTGCCCAGGTGGGGGGTGTGGAAGATGGACACAGGAAGAGAAGTCCAAACACTGGAACACTGAAGATAAAGGATGCAGCAGATATGAATCTACTGACTGCTTTGACAGAAGAAAATTCCACACAATGATCGCAGCTGTAGATTTTAAGCCATCTCATGGGGGTCCCTGAGGCCCACACCATACACCACAGACCCCCGTGGTTTAGGACCCGGATCCTGGGGCCCAGCCAGGAGCTCGGGGCTTGTGACATGAAGCCCCCGTCCTGTCCTCTGGGAACCGACTATCTCCCCAGCCCTTGCCCGAAGCATCGCGGGTGTTCTGCTGTCTGCTCTCCCACTACTCTGGTTGAGAACTAACAGGACTTTTAACTCCTCTGTTTATGGCCTTACAGTGCCTCCAAAGACATCACTTTCAGGGAAAGACTGCGCTGGCTCTATGAAGGAAGGGACACTCAAGTCACTGAGCTTTTACTACCTCGAAGTCTGCAAATGCAACCTGGCATGGTGGTACACTCCTGTAGCCCCAGCACTCGAAAGGCTGAGGCAGGAGGATCACTGGGAGTTCAACACAGTGAGTTCAAGGCCAGCATGAACTACATAGCGAGACCCCGTCTCAAAAAAAAACAGAAAGAGGAAAAAGAATCAGTGACAAGAAAAGTATCACCTTATGGAAGAACCCTTCATGAAGACACCATTCCCACTCACGAAAGCCAGCAGGATCTCTGCAGATGGAACTGGGTCTGAAATTAGCAAAAGCACACATGTGGACTTTTAAACTACTGTTTAATCAGTCTTAAAGACACACAAATAGAAAAAGGAAGAATGTGCACTGAAAACACCCTTCACACCCAGCACCCAGCCACAGTCTGGGGAGCTGGTGAGACGGGGGTGCCTGCGGGTTTGTCCCCTCAGGCAGGACAAGAGCTAATTTATGGAGCTCTGCAAAATAACACTTCTTTAAAAAAATATTTTGGAACCCAAAGAACCCACACCAGACTGCCCAGGGAGGAAATATAAATCCTGGTCTGGGTGGCCGAGGACCCGACTCTCACTCCTCCCCTGGTGACAGATGAGCTGGCTGGTGAGGATGTCTCTGTGTCCACGCTGGGCCTGGCCCTCAAGAGCTGGTGCCCGCCTTGTCTACCTGCCCGCCTGCAGGGCCAGGAACCCAGGCACTTGGGCCGCCAGAGTGGAGGTAACAGCCTGCCTGGCCCCAGGCTGTTCTGTACTCTCAGGGTAAAGACAGACAGGATCACTGGCAGGCCAGACTCTCAGAGAAGCGCACCAAGGCAGAGTCCTCGCCCAAGCAGCCCATGAGCCGGTGACGCCTCCCGGGCCAGGCTGACCTCAGGAATCCGCCATCACACGGCCTGGCTGCTGGGCAACCGCTTCCTCGTTGTATTTCCATTTCTTTCTACAGTAGCAAAGTTTGATAAAACCGGGCTAGAGAAGATGGCCGAGTCTCACCAGCTGTGTTAGACAGCAGTTTACGTGGGTCTTTCTTGAATCATTCATACAACACAGTCTTGGGCTTTTTGTTTTATAAAAGCTGTACTAAAAGAAGAGCTAATATCAGTTTTCAAAGGTGAGAGGAATCAGTTGGCATAAAACTATGTCTCTAGGTTGTTTCATGAAGTTTTCCCAATCAGTGATCTATCGGGCTTGTCAGTTCTTTATTGGGATCTGCATGATGTTAAAAATCTATTAAAATAAATATTATTTTAAAACATACAAAACATTATTAAGCAGCCCGTCAACTCATGTCACTGGCTGCATCCTTTGTACAGCAAGAGCTCAAAAGGCAGCGAACTGCTGGATCATAAGTAAGAGCATTCTTTCAAAATATCAATATAGAAAATTTCATTTTTTAGCTTTCTTCTGGAAGGTGTTTTGTTTTGTTTTGGTTTTTTTCTGGTACCAGGGATTGAACTCAGGACCCTGTGCTTGCCAGGCAGGCACAGCACCACTGAGCTAAATCCCCAGTTGGAAGGAGTTATTATAAATGGATTTGACTACAGGGTGTGGTAGAAAAACCACTGTAGAGACCCCCCCACATTCCGATCCTTCCAATTCATATTTCGGAGTAGATTTCTTTTTTAAAAATTCAATCTCTAGGCCAGGTGTTGTGGCGCATGCCTGTAATTATGACACTTGGGAGGCTGAGACAGGAGGATGTCAGGGGTTTAAAGCCATTATGGGCTATAAGTGAGATCAAGGCCAGCCTGAACATAGCGAGACCCTGTCTCAAAAAAACAAACAAAATAAAGTGCAATATTTCCTTGCATCATTAAGAGCCTGGGCTGATGCAAACCCACTTTTAGAGTGCAACAGGAACCAAACATTCAGCAGGAGAGATGCCTGCCCATGAGCAGCCATTCACTGGTGCCTCTGGGTCAAAAGCAACAGCTGTGTGAGGCCCTGAGGGCCAGGATGAACTCAAATTGCCTAAATAAAGCCCTCCTAGTACTGGCTTATACTAAAGTTTGGATAAGTCCTTAGCAGACACAGCAACAGGCATCCACACGGAAACAAAAATTCTCTTAGGTAACTTTTCTTTCAGTTATAATTAGAACTCTTGGGCCGGGGATTCAGCTCAGTGGTTCTGCTGCCTGCCTCAAAGGCTCAAGGTCCTAAGTTCAAACACCGGTTCAAAACAAGAACAGAACTCAGAACTCTTAGCCAGGTGTGGTGGCTCACCTCTGCGATTCAGCACTCAGGAGGCTGAGGCAATAAGACCGCTGTGTGTTTGAGGCCATCCCAGACTACACAGTGAGAGAACAATAAATGAACCAGCATAAGAAAGGAAGGAAAGAAAAGAACTCTTAAAAGCACTATCTAATAAGTATGAATAATTAAGGAAACAAGTATAAATGTCCATATTTGTGAATATACAAATAGTCACAAGCTATGAATTTTAAATAAGGAAGACTTTTTGTCCTACAAGTTTGGTCCTCAAATTAAAGTATAGCCTGTGCAACTATTTTAATGACAAAAATTTTACAGGAATTGTTTTCTGTAGTTTAAAAGCAAGCCAAATTCTTGGAACACAGAAAGTTTTGAGAAGTTTTCTGGTGGTAAACTCTGTCCAGTAAAATCAGAAATGTATACAATCTCTTGAGCCAGAGTCCCAGCAAGCAGCCCAGGCTGGCCTTGAACGTGGGTGGCCCTCCTGCCTCAGCCCCTTGGGTGTTGGGATCACAGGTGTGTGCACCGCACCTCCTGGCTAGAAATTGACACTTTTACATAGCAAAGAAAACAAAAAGGAGAGAGAGCAGAAACACATTTTCTTTATTTCCAGTAGAGATGCTTTCTCTAGGAAAGCCACACTAAGGGTGGGGGGGGCACGGCACATGGTCGCCCTCCTGCCCAATGGACTACAAGGGCTTTCTGTTGCCATGACAACATGCTCAGCTCTGCAAGGGACAGCAGGCTGTTCTCAGTGACTCCGCCCTGGGCTCCTACAGACAGACCCCTGTCTGAGGAAGGGAACTTGCTGCCCTGGCACTGGTGCCACGTCTCCCCTCATGGCTCCCTCCATGTGATTTGTTTGTGAGCCAGGGGTGTTGAGCTCACTGGGAGGCTGAGGCAGGAGGGCCCCAAGTTTGAGCCCAGCCTGGGCAACTTAAGTGAGCCTGTCTCAAAAAATAACAAAAAAGGGCAGAGATGTAGCTCAGTGCAAAGGCCTTGAGTTGAGTCCTCAGTCATATGAGTGTCACATATGGTAGGAACCAACAACAAAGTCTTTAACCCAGTGGGTGGTGCTGGTTGCCCATTTCTGGAGCCAATAAATCCCTTTTTTTTTTTTTGGTACGAGGGATAGAACTTTGGACCTTGTGTTTTTAAGGCAGGCAGCAGAACCACTGAGCTAAATCCCCAGCCCAAGAAATCCTCATCATTCAACACTTTTGAAGCAAAATAAACTTCCCCATGACCCTGAGTTCCAATTAAAATGCTTATTTATTTATTTATTTATTCTTGAGACAGAGTCTTGTTATATATATATATATATATATATATATAGCTCAGGCTGTCCTCAAACTCTCAGTGATCCTCCTGCCTCAGCCTCCTGAGTTCTGGGATTCCAAGCATGCACCACAATGCCCAGCAAAAATCTTTTATTTTAAAAAGAGAATGAGCCACTTGTATCATGGTGACAGCTGAAACATTTCAAGTTACATGAACTATTATTGTTTCAGTGAAATAAAATCAAGGAAAGAGTAATTATTCTCCCTTGAGTGTATAGAGAACCAATGTAACTATGATGTTGATTGATCATCTGTGGAGCGCTTTCAAAATGTTGGAAGAGTTAAAAATTAATATAAATACATGCTGAATCCTATTTTGTAATTCCAGCACTTGGGAGGCTGAGGCAGGAGGATCGCTGAGATTTCCAGGCCAGGCTGGACTACAAAATGGTACCTTGCCTCAAAACAAAAAGAAAAAACAGCAATAGGCGAGGCTGTTTCTAAAGCTCTAAAGCACCACGCTGCCAGTCTGGCTAGCCCCTCACAAGTCCCCTCTCTTCGAGTGAAACACTGCACGGTCTCAAGCAGGTCACTTTGTGCTTGGCTCCACTCACAGGTTTATCAGTGATCACGGGGACTCTCAGTGAACAGACGATTTACATTCATTAAAAATGTTAAGGCAAAAAGAAAATAAATCTACAAAAGGCCAGAGGTGCCTGTGGCCTGTCCCTCCTGCTGTGTCCTACCTCCAGCTCACTGCAGCCCCACACTCACCGCAAAGGTCCCTGCCAGCTCGCCCCTCAGAGGCAGCAACAAAGCTTTCATGGGAGAGACGGAATCCACCTGCCCAGCTCTCCCTGCGCCGTTTCCATTTCCTGACAACTTCTCTGCTGTTTCCACACAGGAGCCAGAGCAACCAGAGTAAGAAGTGGAGTGGCCAGAGTCACCTTCGCTACCAGAAACTGCCGAAAACCTTTGAGCAAGCTATTGGTGTTTCCTAACTCTGTATCTGGTTTTTGAGACAGGTTCTCCCTGTGCCATGCAGGCTGGCCTGGAACTCACAGTGACCCTCCTGCCTCAGCCTCCCGAGTGCTGGGATTATAGGTGCATCACCACGCCTGCCTGAATTCTATTTAACATACGCTTGATAAATTCTATGGAAAAGCCCGAAGGATTACCATGTTGTTAGACTTTCATGCCTCGCGCAGCTTTCTCATTCAGGGAGCATGTTCTGCCTCTCACTGTCACCGGGCTGGCCTTATCTTTTTTGAAGAAAACAAGCTTAAAATATCACTTCACCTACCTTTAATTATGCTTAAAATTTTCCCTCATAGCGCCGTCTGACTGCCAAAAGGTAATTAAGCTCTCCAGTGGAACCAGCTACCTATAATTTGGCAACCCAAACTGTAGACATTCATTATGAATTTTACTTTATTTATTTTGGGGGTTTTTTGGAGACAGGTTCTTGCTTTGTAGTTCAGGCTGGCCTTGAACTTGCTATGCAGCCCAGACTGGCCTCAAACTCCGTGATCCTCCTGTCTCAGCCTCCGGGGTGCTGGGACGACAGGCATGTGCCCCCACGCCCAGATGGCTATGAATTTTAGCCATGTGAGATATTTTAAGAAAATCCTTCAAATACTGAGATGTTTATTGCATTTTTAAAAAGTCTCCACAATCTTAAATATCCTGCTTCAAATTCTTACCAAATCCCTTTACAGCACACAACATGGAATACTGAAACAGCCTTCTCACACCGTTCCACTTGAAAAGACCACCGAGGAATGATATTGTCGGAAATAAGGGTTTAAGGCAAGACACTCGTCTGGAAGAGCTAACCCGTCGCAGTCACTGCCTTGGCACAGTCCTGCCTCTGTGGCGTGGCGCTTGGGGTGTGCAGGTACATTCAGCAGCTGCTCACAGGGCCCTGCAGGCGACACTGAGGAAGGCATGGCCGGCAGGCAGGAGGCACAGCTTACACCCTCCGCACCTCCCTTCGAGTTCCGGGCTCTGAGGACGCCACGGAGGCTAGTCTGACACCAGGCCGCCTCCTCACTGCTGCGGTGACCAGAGTCTGCAGCCTCCACCTGGGACCTGGCTGGCAATGCTGTTTGTCGTGGGGAAGCTGTTCCGCCCTGGGGAACCATCTCTGTCCTCAGACTTTTTGCAAGGTGATGGCTGGAAGACTGCATGTGCTGTCTCTCCTTTTCGGGTTTTTTTCACTGGCAGCAATAATAAAACTAAGATTCCACAAATGTGAAGGCAGTAATACCAGGAGCTAAGAGAAAAAAGAAAACATTTCTTAACTTCTTTTGTTGAGATAGGTCTGGCTTAAACTTGCGATGATCCTCCTGCCTCAGCCTCCCAATGCTGGCATCCAGGTGTGTGCCACCACGCCTGGATTAGTTTATTAGACCCTAATAGTAATCCATAATACCTGCTCATGTGCACACTGCTGGCTCCCTTGAGGCGCACTTATTCACTAACTATTCTTTGTCCTTGGGAAGTAGGATTCCACTGTGTAGCTGGGATGTTTATTTTAAATCTTGGCCTCTTTTTTTCACGACAATCTCACTATGCAGTCTAGGCTAGTCTTGAACTCCCTGCGTAGCCCAGGCCAGCCTTGACAGGTGCACACACTAAGCCTGGTGGCTGGGGGTTTAAAGTATGGTTGCCAGCCGGCTGCTGGGAGCTGGAGACTAAAGTGTTTCCACCTTCTGTAAGGGCCACAGGGCCCTGGCTCCCAAGAACCAGAACCCCAGGTGCTCATTACCGCAGCGCTCATCCTGCCCGCTGCCTCTGGACAGTGAGGCCCCTGACTGACCCCACCTGAGATGTGGTTGGCACAGCACCTGTCTGCACAGCTCAGAACTGGGGACTCGGGGCTACTTGGCCCCAGTGAAAAGTAGAAAGCGTGTGAGGCTACAGTACAATTTTCCTTCAAATTTTGGATTTTCTTTCAAAAATACTACTCTGCCAGGCATGGGGCTGCACACCTGCCGCCCTAGTACCCTGGAGTCTGAGGCAGGAGGCTTGCGCCTGTTGAAGGCCAGCCTGGACTGCACACTAGCACTACAGCCACTGATGACTGATAGAAATGCTCACCTGTAGAAGGTGAAGGACGGCTTCACAGACAGGAGCACAAAAGGCACAACCGTATAGCTGACCGCTACCTGCGTCACCGTCCACGTGATGATGTCGTAGCACAACTTGAGCTGGGTCGGCTCCGTGAAGTAAGATCGGAAGTTGTTTCTCATCTGAAACACAGGGACAGAGCAGACTTTCTGTCCCCACGGTGACCTTACTCTCCAAGTCACGGCGGTGACATCAACAACTTCGAGGGTGGAAGGACAACTCCTACATGGGGCTGCAGGAAAGGCTTGCACGCACACTTGTGATGATGGAGTAAGACGCAAACAGGTGAATCTGGGCCCAAGGCCTTACGAGCTTATTGCAACTTTTCTGTGGTTTTGTGTTTTCTTGTTTTTGTTTTTGTTTTTTTGAGAGTCTCTATGTAGCAAGGGTGGCCTTGAACTTGCAGCAATCCACCTGCCTCAGCCTCCCAAGTGCTGAAATGACAGGTGCGCCACCGTGCCCAGCTATGGGCACACTGTGCAGGCCTCCGGTGCCAGGCACCCAGCCCCACCCAGCCCCACACGGTGCACGCTCAGCTCTCGTACTCACAGCCCGGGCTGCCAGGGTCATGAGCACACCCGTGAGGAAGGTCAGGTAGTAGCCGGGGTACACGCCATGCCAGACAGCAGACAGGAAGAAGGTCTGGACGGTGGGGCTGAAGGAGGCCCTCTCGTAACACACCCTAGAGGCCAGAAGACAGCAGTGAGCACAGCTGCTCCGCTGCAGGACAGGGGTAGACGGGCAGAGGAGCCTGCCACTCAGCACTGCCCACAACTCTGGCCACTGTCCCGGGGTGAGCTATTAAAGGTCCCGTTCAAGAGCGGGATATTAAATTCCCATTTCTTCCTGGCACACAGTCACTAAAATGCTCGTTCCTAGTGTTTGAGAGTCTATACAATCTACAAAATATATTTTAATTAATATTAAGGATTGATCTTTAGTCTGGCTTATTTTAATACTTTCTTTGAAAACACTAGGAACTTTTCTTTCCCTTCTGTTTTTTTTTTTGAGACAGGGTCTTGCTATGCAATCCAGGCTGGATCTTAAACTTGCAGGGATCCTCCTGCCTCAGCCTCCCTGAGTGCTAGGATTCTAGGCATGTGCCACTAGGTCTAGTTGCAACCAAATCTCTAACGAAGGAGAGGACAGCAGTGGGGGACATTGGCAGAGGCCTGAAGGAGGCCGAGGAGATAGGTCTGGAGCCCAGACAGTTGTGTATGACAGGTAAGGCAGGCCCAGCAGGTGGCTGTGGGCGGTGTCTCCTGGTGGCCCTGCCCACCCTACCCACACTCCACACTCCCACTGCAGGACCCACCTTTTGAGCCACAGTGCTGTCTGGATGTTCCAGTTATCCAGGAACATCTTGAAACTAGTCGACATCTGAAAAACAAAGGACTTTTCCTTTGGCCAATGGAATAAAGGAACTGTAGATAGAACTAGTAACGCTTTATTGTGTTGGAAATTAAAACTCATCTTAGACGAGAAACCCAAAGTATAAATAAATGAAAGCAAAGTTAAAGACAGAAACCAGGAGTGAGAGCTTTTGCAAATGATAAGGGCACCAAGAGATGGAGGAAGGGGGGAGCGGGATGTAACAAGAATTCCATATTAGGTACATGCACCAGCTGAATGAGAGTATTATGAACTGCAAACAGGGACTAATAAAAATTTTAAAATGAGAAAAAAAACCTAAAAAAGTACTTTACACTGATACAAGATTAATAATGTTTGCTTCATTTTTCCTTTATCGAGACAGGGTCTTACTATGTAGTTCAGGCTGGCCTCAAGCTATGGGTGATCCTCCTGCCTCAGCCTCCCATGTGCTGGGATTACAGTTGTGCAGCACCATGCCAAGTTCATTTGTTTCTTTGAGGCTGATTTTCTGAGGCGGCAACAACCCCCACGGGGAGTTTATTTCCTGTCGGGCCAGCAGGTAAATGACAGCCACCCCTTCTCTGCACAGCCCAGGTAGAGACCACTAGGCCTAGCAGTGACACCCCTCCCGCCGTCCCTGGTCGCTGGCCCCCCTTGCCCAAGGTCCCCGCCTGTCATCCTGCGGGGGCTGTGGCCCAGGCTCTCACGGTGGGCAGGCGGGAGATCAGGACCCTACCTCGATCTGTGGGATCCTCAGGTTGGACACCAGGTCCCAGCGAGCCTCGCCATTCCCGTCGTAGCCCCGGAAGCCAAAGCCCGCCGCGTTATTGATGGCATCCGCTGTGCAGAGAAGAGGGGACAGGACTGAAAGTCCCGCGCGAGGGTGCAGGCAAAGACCCGGAATCCCAGGCTGGCAGGGGCGGGGCCTGGGGCGATGGCGGGGCGGGGCCTGCGGGCTCCTCCCTCTGCCACTTCCCGTGCCTGGAGCAGCAGGCCTCGGACCTAAGTGTCTATAAACAGCCTGAAGGACCCTCTCCTTTGATTTGTAGGCATCAGTGATGAGAAGAGGAACTAAGGCCGGGGCCCCCATTCGAACTTTATATGAATAAGAATGTGGGGAGGCAGATGACCTGCTTTCCTGGATCGCCAATGTTGGCCAACCCCGTGAGGCACAGGCAGAATGCGGCACCGCTGCTTTGCACAATGAGGATTCTGCCCCCAAAGAGCCCTTCCTTCCTGGGTCAGCTGGAAAAGCCCTGCGCCCTGTGCTGTCTGCACCGCCAATCTGAAGAATCCCCAATCTGCCCATACCCCAGCAAAATAACAAACATCTTCAGACTGTTTCACTGTGTCAGTGTATTTTACTCATCAGGTAGGATTCTAGAATGATCAGACCCTAGAGAAAAGGAATAAACACGCGAGAGTTGTCCCTGTGCTGGTAAACAAGGTCAGCAGCCAAAAGACCATGAGACCAAAGGTCAGTTGAGGTCACAGCAATGCCCACATTTAATAGATCTGAAGTAAAATTCATTGCTAACGCCACACCGCCATGGACACCTGCAGTCCCCAAGTCATCGGCTGCCTTGTACCCCATCAGTCCTGGCCCTCCTGCAGTCTCCTAACCACCTGTGCACACCCAAGATGACCAACGAAGGGAGTGCCACACTGGGGAAGTAAACCACAAGTCACCTTTCACACCCCATCTCCCATCAGGTCCAAGGGCAGTTGTGGCTGATCTGACCCTTGGGCAGCTATGCCCTGGCAGAGCTCCCCAGGGATCCTCGGTGCAGAGGTGAATTCGATTTCAGCCGCATGTGCTCTCAGGCCAGCCCTGAACTCAACAACCCTCATGCCTCAGCCTTCCGAGAGGTGGGATTACAGGTGTGTGCCACTGTGCCCAGCTCATTCATGGATTCTTACCACAGCACAACAAAGCAGGCTTTGGTCCAGTTGTCAGGGTTAATTCTTACACACTGAGCTGTGGGGGTTTGCTTCTTCTGCAAAGATGTCTTTATCTACACACCCTCCAGAGGGAGATCGTGAGCCAGAGAGTGGTGGTGCTGGCCCTCAGTGCCTCTGCTGGGGAGGCTGAAACAGGAGGATCCCTGCAGCCTAGGAATTCAAGGCCAGCCCAGCCAAAGCAGGGAGTCCCCACCACAAACGTTAACAGCAACAAGACAAGCTTGGCACTTTTACAGCCGCTCTGAAGGGAGATGCCCCTCCACACAGCAGAGGCCGCTTACCTAAGGTCCAGGCGAAGTAGTACTTGGGCCGGGCGGCCAGCAGGGACACGTACAGGTAGGCCACCCTGGTCGGCCAGGAGGCCGTGGCCAGGAACTTCTCGTCGATATTGTAGTCCACGGGCAGCGCGCTGCAGATGGTCAGGTGCACCAGCAGGGACAGCACGCACACCAGCAGCTTGTGCATCACGGCCGCCTGCGGGCAGGTGCGGTCAGCCAGCCGTGCTGGGGATCACGTGCCCTCCCGCGGACAGCCGTGCTTGCAGGACAGAATGTCCGCGTTGTTTGTGTGGAGCTGGGGCACAGACGTAACACATGGCGTGTGCACCTTTCTTTATCCCCTCCCTTCTAAGAAAGAGCCATCCCCTTACTTTCTACTGTCTACCTTTTACTTTGCTATTTATACTTGGGCTTCTCATATAAGGGAAACCATGTGATATTTGAGCTTGTGTGTCTGATTTATTTCACCTAACATTGTGTTCTCAAGGTGCATCCATTTTCCTACAATCACTCATTTATCCTTCTTTATGGCAGCGTAGTGCTCCACTGTGTGTAGATAACACTCTTTCCCTGTATCTGTTGATGGACATTCAGGCCGCTGTTACGAGCTATGCTGCTGTAAACACAGTGTGCATGGGTCACCGCAGCAGTCTTTAACTCTCTTAGGGAGATAACAGAAGGAGAATCTCTTCAGGGCTTCTCAGGCATCGCACCAGAGTCATCTTCCTGAATGTAGCACCAGCCCCAAACCCTCCTGGTCAGAGAATAAGTAAAAATCAGGAGCCTCGGTACACGGACTCCCCACCTCCACACTGGATCATACAGCCAGGTGAGAGAAGAACCTGGCGCTTGGCTGGCTGGAGCCTGTGCAGAGGGACTGCTTGGTACCCCACACAACACAGCATTATTTTCTTCAAGGAACTCAGTTTCTAAATATCACCCCCACTTCCACATACACATGGTACTGGGGATTGAACCGAGGGCCTTTTTACAATGAGTGACATTGAAGCCCTTTCTTATGTTTTATTTTGAGGCAGGGTCTCACTAAGTCACTAAACTGCCCAGGCTGGCATTAATCTTGAGATCCTCTTGCCTCAGCCTCCCAGAGTTCTGGGATTTCAGGAGAGGACCACCGCACCCCACTGGAGGTCTTTAGTGTGCAGTACCAGGAGACTGTGTGAAGCGTAGGTGACCAGCTGGGCAAATTCAATGTGCGGACTTGATGCTCTGCAGCCAAGAGCGAGGAAGGTGTGGCCAGGATGGCGGGAGACGCGTACATGCGCACACGCACCTTTGGGGAAGGGTCTGCTCGCTCCCATAGCACCGCTTCCTTCTGGTTGGGACCCGACTGTGCCCTGTGGTACGCCCGGCCCTCGATGAATGTGATGTAGTCCTTGTAGGAGCACAGCGGGCCAGCCAGGATGCCCATGAAGTTACAGGTGTAGCTCACGTACTCCAGGAGGCTGGGCATGCGCCTGCAACAGAGAAGGTAACTCAGATTCCGGGACAAGTGGGTGTGGTGGCGCACATGCAGAAAGAACCCCATTACTGGGAGGCTGAGGCACGAGGATTACAAGTTCAAATCCAGCCTAAGCAACTCAGCAAGATCCTGTCTTAAACAGAGAAAAGGAAGGTGGGGGTGCTAGGGATGTAGCTCAGTGTGAAGCCCCGGATTCAAAGCTGTAGCAAATAACCACAAGCCCTGCAAGCTCCAGGGCCCTTACACACGGCAGTGGACAAGAAGGGAAATTCCGCAGCTCGGACCTCACAGTGGAAGCAGAGGAGACGCACTCCTCCATGCTAAGGGAGGGCCTTTCTGGCAGGCTGGGGTGGGGCTGGGGAAGCACTGGTGTCTAGGACCCGGGCAGAGGCAAGGACAGGCAGGCCTGGCGCCATGTGGGACAGAGCAGAGGAAAGGCAGAGCTCAGGGGAATCACGTGTCACAGGCCATGGCACGAACTGCTCACTTTACTCTGAATGAGGTGAAAAACCACAGGAAGGCTCCTTCTTGTAGTTTGAGGCAGGGTCTGTCTACATCACCCTAGCTGGCCTCGAAATTGCTATGTGGCCCAGGCTGACCTTGAACTCAAGATCCTCCTGCCTCGGCTTCCAGAGTGCTAGGGTAACAGGTGTGCACTGGCACACCTGGCTCAAAACCTTTCTGACTCCTGTTCTGAGTTCTGTCCAGATGCTTTGCAAGTTTACGGAGCACGCAGGAAACAGGCACAAATGGCTCATGACCTGAGAGACCACAGACTACACGTGTTGCCGTGGGTGACATATGGGTGGGCCATAGGGGTGTTGTCTCTGAACCAGCTCCCATAACCAGAATGTCCCTCCAGGGGACGCAGCTCAAAGCCCGAGCTCCCCAGGCCATTCACGCTACCAGAGAGGCTGAGAGCCCCAAGTCGCACCGGCCGGCAGTCTGACTTTAGAATGACCAGAGGACAGCCCAGAGCTTCCGCCTGCCCTCTGCCACCACCTACGCAAACACTTCACCGAGAATCTTTCAAGCTCCCAGTTACTTTTCTACTCGTCAGTGTCCTGAGTCTAAAATGTGCCCTCAGACTCCAGGCCAAGCGTTCCTGCAGGTCTCCTCCTCCGCACACCGCCTAGCACCGGTACAGCCTGGATGGGACAAAGGAGCCCTTTGTCCTCCAGCCACCGGCTCCACTCTGGACACCAAGCATTTCCAGGCCCGAAACAAGGTCAGATTACACGGCCCAGTCTTACCAAGTCAAACGATGTATCAGTTTGCAAGGACACAAAATCATTCTTTTAAATTTTTTGTTTTTTTCACACAGGGTCTCACTATGTAGTCCAGGCTGGCCTTGAACTCACCAAGTACCCCAGGCTGGTCTCAAACTGGCAGTGATCCTCCTGTCTCAGCCTCCCAAGTATTACGATGACAGGCGTGCGCCATCACGCCTGGCTTAAAAATAGAATATTTTTAAAGATGGGGAAAATCTAAGAAGTGTCCCAAGACCTGCTTACGGGGATCCAGGTCTGTGTACTGCCTCGGTGTCCTTCGCCGAGCAGCCGTGTGCTAATCAGCCCTGTATGTAGAAACAAGGCACTCGAAGGAGAGGCATCCCTTGGGGTACCGAGTATCTGATCTCTGTACTAGAGTGAGGCCGAGCTCCTACATAAGGGGAGGGAGAGCCCTCTCAGCTGGGCCCCTCAGTCACCACAGCGCCGACGGACTGGCCATCTGTTGTTATCTCACACAGGCGTCCGTGGGCTGCACTGGCCACTCTGTCCCGGCCACCAGCTCCACAGGCTAGAGTCTGTCTAGGCCCCGGTCACTGCCATTTCTCCTGGGCAGACACAGGGCCTTCCCGTCTTCAGAAATCTGAGTCTGAGGCCTGAGGCGGACTCTGACAAACGGCCTGGCACCCCACAGGGGGGCGCCCTGTCTCCAGGGGCGAGATTCTGGGGGGCCCACAAGGGACAGCAAGGTGTGGCGACACACACTTGGCGCCTGTAATCCTAGCACAGGGGAGGCTGCGACGGGAGGGTCGTCACGAGTACAAGGCTGGCCTGGGCTACACACATGAGACCCTGTCACAAACACTCAACAAGATCTGGAGGCAGGAGGCGTGCAGAGCACGGCCTGGGGTCACAAGCGGAGCCCCAGAGCACTGCGCTGCGCAGGCATTGTGCGTACCAGACAGAGGGCAGGGCAATGGTGGCGGCACCTACCTCACGGCGAGCCCTCGCTGGGACGGCGTCAGGTCCTCCTCCTTGCGAAACATCCCTGCAAGCCGAGAGGGGATGGTCCTGAGAGCCAGGCTCGGCCTGCCAGTCCGGAACCAGCCCAGGGCCTCGCACTGAGCCCCACCCTGCAGCCTATTTCTTTATTTTTCATTTTCTTTTCCCACATCTTCTGATTTTATTTTTCTCACTAAGTTGCTGAGTTGCCCTGGCTGGGCTCCTAGGAGCCTGCAGCCCTCCTGCCTCGGCCCCCCGAGTGCCGGGATCACAGGTGTGCACCAACATGCTTGGCTGCTGGTAGCTTTTTAAATTCACAAATTTATTTTCTTTAACAGTAAATGCTATGACTTTTCAAAAAGAAGTACTACAAGTTCTTGATTATTGGGGAATTTAAATGGCCGAACTGTGGGGTCGTGCACTACAAGCTCAGTGTGAAGCGAGGGGCAGCTGCCTTCTCCTTCATGGCCCGTGCATGTCACCTCCTGCACATCCTCGCTGCCTGGGCAGGAGTGGTGACTACAGCCAAGTGCTGGCTTCTTTCAGCCACGTGCTTTTCACTTAAAGGCCCAAGGGCAGCTAGATTAAGAAGCAAAGAGTGAAAAAAAAAAGCAGAGTATACTAAAAAATTATTTGCAGAAAATAAAATATTCATATCCCCCAAAGAATCAAAACTAATAAAATTTTTTAAAATGAGAGCTGGGTGTGGCGGCGCACACCTGTTATTCCAGCATTTGGGAGGCCGAGGCAGGAGGATGAATTTGAGACTGACACCAGACTGGGCTGTACAGCAGAACATGTCTCAAAACAACAACAACCACAACTATAAAAGACACTGAAATAAAAACAAAAACACTGAACACCATAAAAGAAAAACAAGCATCCAACTAACATATAAATGTTAATTTCATGATTAACGATAAGAACAGTAATTATTAAGAAACGTATATCAGAGGCTGAGATACGTAACTTTAAAAGGCCTCATTCCCATAGCACGGTCTCATTTGTGTAACAGACACACTTTTCTGCATTTTATGTGCACGTAAGAGGGCAGAAAACTACTAGGGCTTCAGAATGTCCCCAGGAGCCAGGTGTGGAAGCACATTCCTGTCATCACTTGGGAGGCTGAGGCAGGAGGATTGCCATGAGTTCAATAGCAAGACTCTGTCTCAAAAGAAAGGAAAAGAAAAGAAAAAATTCCCAGGAACTGTTCTAGGGGTTGAGGAAAACAAAATTCTCTAGTTTTTGGCACTTGTAATTTTATGGGTTTTTTTTTTTCTTGGTACCAGGGATCAAACTCAGGACCTTGTGTTTTCAAAGCAGGCGGCGGAACCATTGAGCTAAATCCCCAGCCCTGGCAATTGTAATTTTAGAGAGAAAGAACAGAAGTAAACAAATGAAGCACTAAGGCGTATTTGTATCTATCGTCTTCTGTAAACCTGTGTAACAAACATCCTCAGCCCAGTCCTAGGCTGCCAGTCAGCGTGATCTGAAGTTTGTGACCAGGTCCTCATGGTTTTCACACAGTGCAAAAGAAATCCATATCCTCCAGCCAGGCCCGGGAGGCTCTGCCCCTCACTGGGGCACTGTACGAGGGCAGCACTCAGCAAGGGTGCCTGGCCCTCTAGCGTGGACAGGGACACAAACTTCCTCACCCTTCTCTGCGCTGTTCCAGCTCCCTGGGTGGGGGCATGTGTCCACTTTTTGTATCAGAAGGAAGCAAAACCCACTTAAAGGAGATGGGCAGACAACAGCCTCAGGGACTGAGCTGGACATGAAGATCCCACTCTTTTCTTCCACTCCCCCTTAGTGTTTCTCTCAGGCAGGCCTTCTGCTGTGAGCTTTGCTATATAAAACGTTGCTGCTTCCTGCAGGTTTGGCTGCTCAGGGCTGGGTACAGGCACTGACCACACAGGCTGGGCTTTCAGAGCAGCAAAACGCCCACCCAGAGCGAGTGCAGACTTTCACCTGACAGTTTGGTGTTAAAACTACAACCCTAAGAGGCCCAGCCGCCTCCCAGTCCAAACCCTGGGGACCAAGGGATAGAATAACCAAAACCAGACAAGATGCCACTGGCTTTTGTTGGCGGTGGTGGTTTTGTTTTTTGTTTTTGGCAAGATCCCTCCTGCCTCAGCCTCCTAGGTGATGGGAATCACAGGCATGACCACCATGCTGGGTCCCAGGATGTCATTTTTAATTTTTATTTGTTTATTTATTTGGTACTGGGGATCAAACTTGAGACTTTGTGCTTTTGAGGCAGTTGGCGGCATCACTGAGCTACATCCCCAGCCCAAGGATACCATTTCTTAAAGCTAGTAGTTTAGTCAAGTGCAGATAATGCAGCCTTGGGTATGAAGAGAAGCAGGACCCCTATAGCCCATCAGGAACAAGCAGCACATCATCACACTGCCAGAGGCAGGGGAAGCCACGAGTCCCAGCAAGCTGCCGGTGAGTGGGGACCATGTTCTGTCACCTGTCCTGAGCCGGCACAATGCTCAGCCCAGCACCAGATGAGAAGTCTCAAACCAAGCCCAGAAAATCACAGGTAGACAGGCGTGGTGGTGCACACCAATGATCCCAGCACCTTGGGAGGCTGAGGCAGGAGGATGGCTACAAATTCGAGCTGAGCTCAAGGCCAGCCTATACAGCACAGTGAGACCCTGTCTCAAATATCAAAAAATTTTAAAAATATGAATAAACACTAAAGGTTCAGAATTCTTAAAGACACTGTCCTGGGGAGGGCGGGCTGGCTGCTAGCTGAGCTTGTTCTATGCTGGGCACTGCCCTTCTGCAGGGCCTGAGCCCTGGCCAGCCCAGCTGGGCACCAGGGCAGCATGGACAGGGACGCCTGGCAGAGGCCTCAGCCTGCACCTGTGAGCACGTGCCATGGGGATTGCTCTGCTTTGCATCCCCAGGGCCCCTGTGGGGCTGCACGCACCCTCAGTGAGCAAGGTCAAGATTTCCTTTCTGGTTCTTTGAGACAGGGTCTTGCTAGGAAGCCCAGGCTGGCCTCGAGCTCACAGCAATTCTCCTACCTCAGCCTCCCAGGGCTGGGATTACAGGTGTGCACTACCACGCCAGGCTCTGAAAAAGTTCCAAAGAATTTTTAAAGGTAATCAGTCTTTTCCTCCATTCTCTGAAAAATGAGGCAGTCAATCTTTGCACTTGTCAGTAGTAAAAGGAAAGAGAGGAAAATCCTCCCTTTCTTCACAAGCAGCAGAGTGCAAAGTTGTGGGCTATCTCAAATGAAAGATTATCTGGACAGAAAAACTAATTCCAGAGCTCTTACCATCATGGATTTCATAGGCCAAACTCGTGATCTTCTGAGTAATGATCATCATTGGGCTGTGACAAGACAAAAGGTAAATATTTTAAACGCAGGAAGTTAGAACAATGCTGCAACATTGCTAGAACAGCTTTGCTAAAAGAAAAAAAAAAATACTCATCTGTTTTTACTCTTGTTTTTTTGAGCCAGGCTCTTGTGGTGCAGCTTAGCCTGGCCTCAAACAGTGACCCTCCTGCCTCAGCCTCCTGAGGGCTGGGATCACAGGCGAGAGCCACCGGGCCTGGCCCACAAAGAGCAGAACCCAAACAGTGGGCAGAGCCAGCTATCTGAGGCCCAGTACAGCTCAGCACACCTGAGACCAGGAAGAAGCCCTGGCCCACATGGCCCACTGTGCCAGCCCTGGCTCAGGTACAGGCACCCAAGGCCTGGGTGTCATGGGCAACAGGGGAGAGGAGACAGATTCCAGACGGGAGCGTGGTCCAGCAGTGACAGAAGCAAGCGGGACAGGGTGGGGCAGGGCACTGGGCGCCAGATCCTGGGCAATATCAGGGGCTTCTGCACCACGGGAGGAGGGGAGAGCGGAGCAGGGAGGGCAGGCGGGAGGGACGCCTGCAGGATCCAGACCAGAGGCCACCACGGTCCACGAAGCAGAGCCACAGAGGAGCCGAGCTCAGCATCAGTGTGAGGGGCTCCAGCAGGGTGACAATGCGAGCTGGGTGTGCTGGGCATGGCTAGGAGGCTGAGGCAGGAGGATCACTGAGAGTTCAGACCAGTCTGGACCACATAGCCAGACCCTGCCTCTATCACCCACAACAACAAAAATCACCCCGGGGGCCACTTGCTGCCAGTGAAGTTGCTTTCTGTCCAGAACACAGACAAGCAGGCCAGGAACGGAGTCAGTCCGGGAACGGCGCTCTGCTCCCCTCTGCCCACAGTGGACTCAGTGTGAAAGCAGCACACGGGGATTCCAGACCAGAAGCTGAGCTGCGCACCACACTGCCCAACAGCAGGAGCCCGGCACCCACAGCGGGCCAGCTCAGAGCTGGCGGGGTTACAGGACAGAGAGTGGCCACCTCCCAGGAGGGACAGTGCCGTCGGAGAAGCTAGGGGCGCTGCCCTGACACCACTGCTGACAGCTGTGTGGGAGACAGACGAACAGAGACAGAGACACAGAGACAGACAGAGAGACACACGTAGAAGGAGGGAGAGACAGAGAGAGGAGAGAGGGAGGGGGAGAGCAGGAAACGCAGGCTCATGGTGCTGGCTTTCAGTAATCACAAATGATTGCTGAAGTCACTATAAGAATTAGGAAATGCTCTCGATACCAAATGTCAGAGAAATGTCACTGCTATATTGTTTTAGAGATTTCAGGGCTGGGGATTTAGCTCAGCAGTTCGGTGGCCTGCCTTGCAAGTGCAAGGACCCAAGTTCAATCCCGGTACCAAAAAAAAAAAAAGAAAAGAAAGAAAGAAATTTCATATATGTATGACAAAATAAAAGCGTGCGTTATTTTTGTGACAGTTACAAGAGGAAAAAAAATCTAAGATCAAAAAGAAGTTTGAACTAAAATGGAAGAAAAGCTCTTTGCCACGCCCGACTTGCCCGTACTTTGGGTTTTATCTACTGTTAGAGTAGTCTACACAGGCTACCGAGTCAGTTTCAGTCTTACCCTGAAAAATCCGCAGAATACTGTCCATAATCAAAGATGTAGACCCTGGTGATCTGGCACGCTGTGAGGTATCCCAGTGCGAACACAAAACAGTACCTGGAAAACAAAAGTAAGCCACATTGGAGGAAAGAGAAGGTTCATTTTGCTTTGGTTTTTGTTCTTGTTTTGTTTTTGTTTTGAGACAGGGTCTCACTGTGCAGTCGAACCTGGCCTTGAGCTCACTGTGTAGCCCAGGATGGCACTGAACTCTCCTGCCTCAGCCTCCTGAGCACCAGGATTACAGGCATGCGCCACCACACCCAGCTTGATGCCTACCTCTGAGTGGGAATGCTTTCCCTCCTTTCTACCACTGAGAAGGGATTTTTGCTCTCTGCAGCCAAAAGCACCCTGACCCATTACTATTAATAGTAAAATGAAGCAAAAGATAAGGGATTCCAGAATGGTACATTTTCCTACTCATTAAAAACAAATGTTGAATTTGTTTCCAATACCTGGTTTCAGAAGGTGAAATCGCACCAGAAATGCATAATCATTTTGTCACTAGACACAGGGCAAACTGTCCAGGGGGAACGAAGGTGTGTGGGACAACAGGAGTCCATGAACTGGAAACATACAGGATGCGCTCTCACAGGAGACAGCATTTGCCATAAATCGTGCTGGGACAACAGGATATGCAGATGGAGAAAAAATGTGTATCAACCCTTACATCAGGACATACACAAAAATTAACTCCAAAGCCGGGCACGGTGGTGCACGACTACAATCCCTGCACTTGGGAGGCTGAGGCAGGAGGACTGCTGTGAGTTCAAGGCCAGCCTAGGCTACACAGCAAAATCCTCTCTCAGAAACAACAACAACAACAACAAATTAACTCAATATGGATTGCTTATTTATGTATAAACACTAAATCTATAAAACTTCTACAAGAAAATATTAATAACTTTTAGGGTAGGCAAAAATTTCTCAAAAAGACAAACTATACCATGTTTTAAAAAATTGCTCAACTGATGTCATTAAAATTGAAAAGTTCTGCTCTGCCCGAGAAAATGAAAAGACAAATCCCAGACTAAAAGGAGCTATCCACCATTCAGCCACGTGACAAAGGACTGATGCCCAAAATACAGAACGTTCGAAGTATCACAAAAAAGCCCAATAACCCAAAGATTTGAATAGACCATGCCCAAAGATGTGCAGTTGGTCAACAGGGAAAGGCACCCGCCCGCTGACCATCAGGGAACTCCAAAGGCAGGTCACGGCGAGACCCTCCCACTGGCCTGCAGACGGGCAACAAAAGGGGCCACAGAGCCAGGGTGGTGAGCACCCCACCCACACGGGGGAGTTCCAGGTTCCCGGGCGGCCTGCCAAAAGCTGAACTGGCAACAGCCTCAACTCTGAAATCACTCAAACATCCATGACCATATGAAGGGCACACGGCCTGTGGCGCATACATGGGTACGATGGCAGGCTACCCAGGAACACAAAGAAACAGTTCTGGTAAGCACAACATAGATAAATTCTTTCCCTTTCTTTGTGTCTTTTTTTTTTTTTTTTGGTACTGGGGATTGAACTCAGGTCCTTGCGCTTGCAAGGAAGGCCACCAAACCGCTGCGCTAAATCGCTGGCCCTATTTGTTTTGTTTTTTGAGACAGGGTCTCGTCATGTAGTCCAGGCTGGCCTCCAACTCACAGCGATCCTCCTGCCTTAGCCTCCCCGTGCTGGGAGCACAGCACATGCCTGCTCTGTCCACGTGTGGCCTGGAGAGGCCTGCGTGTGCCGCCTGGACGCCGCCTGCCCTCGGGTCTCTGACCAGCTGGCTCGTCCCTGTCCCGCCTCTGCCCCGGCTATCTACACCACAGTTCCTCAGGATCTCACCGCTCTCGCAGTAACCCTGCTTCCTCCCCGCTCTGCGTCCTCCACTCCCTGCACTGGGCCTACAGGCAGCTGAGCCAGGTCCCCGGGCTCAGGAAGCGGCGACACCATGGGCACAGTGAATGAGCACCGCAGAGAAGAGGCACGGCCAGGATAGGTGCTGGGCCCAGGGCAGAAGGCAGGCAGCACACGGCTCCCTGCCAGACAGCGACAGCAGCCACAGGAAGGATGCACTTCCCCACCACCGGCGATGGGATTCCAGGTTTCTCTGCCCCAAGGCCTCTCACCAGTCCAGGCACGGCAGATGCTCTTTGCCACGTAGGTCAGGAGATAGGAGCTGGGAGAGCCCACGATTCCGCATTCCCACCTCGGCCTCACACAGGAATGTGCTGGGTGCCCTCAACCCAGTGCTCTGGAGGCTGAGGCAGAAGGGTCGTGGGAGTGAGACCCCGTCTCAAAAATTAAACACAAGCATATGAAAAAGTTGTGAGCTGATCACTGAGTCAGGAGAGAGAATGGATTTTCAGGGCAGGGTGCTTTTAGGTGCTAAATGCTACTTACGATAACACCTCGGCTGCCAGGGCCAGGGGGCGGGCACTGCTGAGCAATGGTAGTGCCTGCTGCACCTGGCACCACAGTGCCCGTGCGTAGCACAAGGGCGGAGTTCAGGGCAGAGACAGAAGCCTCTGAGACGACACAGCAGCAGGCAACACCCCACCCAAAGGGCTCCTCCCTCCGGCCCCTTCCAAACAGGATTTCGGGGGTCACAGCCACAGCCACGCCCTGCTCCTCTGTCCATTCAGACAGGGGCAGCAGTGACGGAGAGCAGGGCAGGAGCCCTGGGCCCGCACCCCGGGTTTGCCAGCGTGTATTTCCTAAGACTTCTCCCACTCGGTTGAAATTCTTCACTGAGAACTGAACGTACACACTGAGTAATCTCACCTTCCTTTTCTTTCCACAGTAGAAATGCTCTGTACTATTTAGGAGGAGCGGAAAGGAAAAGGAACAGGAGCCTTCCCTAATCAAACCAAAGCAAAGAAAATGTTGTCAGCGGTTGTTTCTTGGTACTGCTGAGGACTGAACCAGGACCTTTGCACTGAGCTCCATCCCCAGCCCTCTTTTAAGTTTCGAAGTAGGGTCACCCTAAGTAGGCCAGGCTGGGCCCTGACCTGCAGGCCTGCCTCGGCCTCCTGTGCTGGGACCGCAGACACTCAGCGCATCTCAGCTGTGTTGGGCCACACGGACACCGGCCTGTCCCATCCGGCCAGGGTCTGCACTGATGCCGGTCACAGGCAATGAGAAGGCACCCGTTTCCCCTCCCTACACATGGCCACCTTCTCTCGTTTTGTTTTTAAGCCAAGGATCAGATTACTCTGTGTATTACTTAATAGCCTGCTCTTTTCACCTAATCTCCACTGTCCCGAGTTGGGGAAATTTCATCTCATCTTAGTCTCCATTCCCCAGCTGTGGCTTCCCTCCTGGCGGCGCCCGGCTGCTCTGTGCCTCCTCCTTTGGGGTCCCGCCGCCTGGCCTCCCTCCGACACCAGATTGTTTACTGTTTCTTGTGGCGAACACAGGTCCACGCTGGCCCTGAACTCTGTGTCAAACACAGGCCAGAGGACAGGAAGGAGATGCTCAGGTCCCCCATGTTGGTCACATTTTGTGTCTCCTGGGGTTGGGTACTTCTCCAGTGAGGGTCACTGTCCCCAGAGCTCCCATGAAGCATTGCTAACTGGCCTCGAGGGACAAACTGTTAACCTTGCTGCTAGCAGAGCTCAGGGCTGCGACACCCAGGTCCCAACCCGGGAGGCCCAGGGCAGGACTCCGAGCTGCAGGGCCGGCCCAGCCTCTGTCCCTCCCACAGGCACTGAGTGCACCCTGTTCCCCAGACCCCAGAGGACGCAGAGGAGGAGGAGCTGCAGGACGGCGCCCATAGCCCAACCGGCTGTTGGGAGAGGGACCGGAGGCCTGTGGCTCTCACCCCCTCTGAGGCTCTGGGACGCTGCAGACACTGGGAAGATCACTGGGTCTGGGGCAGCCGAGCTGTGGGCCGGGAGGCGAGAAAACACCCTTGCCCTCCCCATCCTCACGGGGCAGGCAGTGCATTGCACAGCTTGCTGCACCCGCTCATGTCCTTTAGGGTTTCTCTGGGCCACATGTCCCGTTAAAAATGACTCTGGGCTGTAAAGACAACATTTCAGCTCAACTTCCCCAGGCACAAGGGCTCTCCTCTTCCTGTTCGAACTACTCCACATGACTGCTGTTCCCATTGAGCTAACAGCAGTTTCCTTGTGCTGGGCTCCAGAACTCTCAGCCAGTTTTGAGAACTCAAAATGAAATGTTTTCCCAAGGCAAAACACAAACAAACAAACAAACCCAAAATGCAGGAAGGGGGCTCGGTTCCCACGCCCATCCACAAAAGCTCACGGAGACGCTGAACGGCATGGGCGCTTGGTGCAGCTGTTAGGTGGGGTCTGAAGCGGCCCCTGAAGGGTCTGTGCTCAGACCCTGGGAAGGGACTCTCGGACGGGAGCAGGAGGGCTCTGACCTCGGCCACACGTTCCCGTGTCCATGGATTCTACCTGTCCACGCGTGCAGCTCACACTGAGCACACTTGTGGAGGGGAGCTGGTCCTTGTATGTGCTGCACTCAGTCCTTTCCGCTGTCCTTCCCACCCCTCCGTTCCGAGGCCCCCTTCCAGGTTCTGACTGCCCACCCTTTATTTAGCTCTTTCACTCATTTATACTCAATATCGAAGCTTGTGTGTCTGATTCATCTCACGCAGCCTTACAGTCTCCAGGTGCAGCCATTCTGCTGCACATGACTCAGGCCAATCTTTCTTCATGACAGAGTATTACTCCACAGCACGCAAGTACCACGGTTCCCTTATTCACTCATCTGCTGACGGACGCTCGGGCCCCTTCCAGGATTTAGCTTTTGTTCAGTGGGGATGTGTGGATCGCTGTACATGATGTTGTCAATGCCCTCCGGAAGACACCTGAAGGAGGTGCAGCTGATGGATGTATAATCCGATGGCTGTGGGTGGTGCTCAGGGCAGTGCCTGGCGTGTCTGTGGGTCCTGGCGTGTCCGTGGCACCGGCCCTCATCCCTCACCTCCGCCTCCCGTCCACCACAGCACAGCAGCTCTACTGCCAACCCCTCTGCTGCGCCACTCTAACTCAGCGCCAGTGACTTTGGACTAAAACATGAGCCAAAATAAACCTCGCTTTCTTTAAACTGAGGGTTCTTAGTATGCACTTACGTCGGTGTTTTGAGACAAGGTCTCTCCATGTAACTCAGGCTGGCCTCGGACTCAGTGATCTCCTGCCTCAGCCTCCCAGTGCTGGACTAGAGATATGAGCCACCACCCCCAGCTCCAATTCAATTCGGCCAAACCAGAGTCCACCCGGTGTGTGAACAGGGAGACTCACCTGTGCGTGCTTTCCACCCCTGTGGTGATCATGATGCAGTAGGAAATCCCACTTTGTACCAGAAAGTGTAAGGCATACCTACAGAAAGCACAAATGCTGTCAGAAGTCACAGACATCACATTTACAGAACTCAACCTAGAAAGTACTCAAATACAACCTGGAACATTCCCAGGCATAAAATAAGGAATTAAAGGAGCCAGGCACGGTGATGCATGTCTGCAATCCCAGCACTTGGGTGGCTGAGGCAGGAAGATCTCTGAGTTCAAGGTCAGCCTGAGTTACGCAGTGGGATGCTGTCTCATAAAACAAACACCAAATGAAAAGCCTAAATAAAAAATCTGGGAATACCTTAGAAAGGGATCCCACAGGACACAGGCCCCAGGAGGGCTGGGCAAGGAGAGCCAGCCCCCAGAGGCCAGCCCAGTGCCCCAGCACTCCCGTCACCCAGCAACGGAAGGCACGGGGGCCATGGCCGGAGGATGGCGGCTTTCTTCATAGCTCAGCACACGGGTGAAACAGAGGCGTGACAAATGCACTGTCAGCAGTCCTGACGGGATGGCTGTTTCCCAAACTAATGTCTGCGGCTCCTTCCGGCCAAGTGCTCTGCTATTCCCTCTTACCCACAGCGCTCTCCGAGTAACAGGGAGGGCTGCCTTCTAACTGAGTAAAGTGAGGGTCCCCCAGGCCCTTCCTAAGTCCAGCGAAGTCCCTCTTAAACCAAGCCACATGCTAACTTGCTGAGAGGGGGTCTCGGAGACATCCTTAGCTTACATGACCCACAGATGTTAATGTCCCTAATGCAGAAATCAATCACTAGTGAGAAAATCCATTCCTTTCACAGATTTGGGCAAGTACAGGTCTGGGTCTCTGGATTAAACTCAATCTCCCTGAGATGCTGCATGTATGGGAGATTCCCTCCCTCCCTCCAAGCCTCCCCCCACTCCACTCAATTTTCTTTCTACTTTCATGGCATAAAAAATTTATGATAAAAATTTCAAATCATTGTGTAAACTATAAAGTATTCGTAAGGATCTTAACCTATGATTAAAATTACTTCCTAACTTAATCATCCTGGAAGAACAGGCACTTCCCACGGGGAAAAGCAATCTGACATCTTGAACCAGGCTTTTTCCACTGATATATTATAGATAAGGAGTGGGCTGCAGGGCAAACCACGGAAGAAATGACTTCCCCGTGGGGCAGGGCAGGGCTGGCCCACCTCCCCCCACTCTGCCACACACACACACTACTCTGCTGGCCCACGGAGTTGCAGTAATAAGAGGGCCAAGGAGATGCCAGAGAGGAGAAGCAGAGGCAGTTTAAAAAAATAAATAAATAAAGCCTGTAATCCTAGCACTCAGGAGGCTGAGGTAGGAGGATTGCTGCAAGTTCGAGGCCAGTCCGGGCTATATAGTGAGCTCAAGGCCTGACTGAACTACTCATGGAAAGCCTGTCTCAAAAACCAACACAACAAAAAAACCCCAAAAAACAAACAAAAAAAACAGCAAAGTCACTCTGGACTACACAGTGAGCTCAATGCCAGCCTGAACTATACAGCGAGACCCTGTCTCAAGAAACAAACAGCAATCTGATGAACATACACTTTTCAAAATTAATTTTCCACTTTCTACTTATTGCCAACACCAAAAATTCACTAGATTTGATGTGAATGTGTTGAGGGGAACTAGCAGATACTTTAAGCACTTTTAAAACTGAGAGAACTCATGAAAGGTATTTATCTTAAACAAGAAAAAAAGTTCCAGTACTCAGGGAATTTTTCTTTTTCCTTTGCTGAGTAAACTAGGGATGGGAGACAAAGACGCCATGGACTCCAGCAGGTGCTTCTCCCCACCCTGGGTGCCCGGACGCCTTGCCATCCTGGGTGTGGCCGCCCCAGACAGGTGCCCGAGCCCCGCTGCTCTATGGGTCTCAAGCCAGCAGTGGCTGTAGGCTCCACCCGTGAGCCCCGGGGCCCTCGCCAGTGACACGGGCACCAGAAAAGCACAGCGGCCACTTCAGGCTCCAGTTACCACCGGTAAAGCAGGAGTCAGAGGTAGAGGGCATGGGAGGCCGCCCCCTTATCCTCGGCTGCTCCTTCCCGGGCCAGCAAGGAGCAGGGTGCGTGGTGATCACTCTGACAGTGAAACAGCGCTCCACCCCAGCTTCCGTGTATTGTTAGAGAACACATTTTACTTTGAACCCAAATTACAATAAAGACAGTTTAGCTGGAGAGAGCACACGTTCAGTTCTCTGATTCTTCAGCTCATCCTTCCTGAATGTCTCCTTGGGTCGATGCAGGGGATTGAACCCAGGGCCTTGGGCGAGCCAGGCAAGCACCGTACCACTGTGCTGCTGCTGGCGCTGGTGTCCACTTCCGGGAAACCACAGTACCGGACACCGGAAGGGCACCGGCTACAGAGAGATGACAAGAAGCAGGCTCCTTCCATGCTGCTGGACAGACGCTAACAATAAGATGGGATCACAGAGGCTACCCAGCTGGAGCTTCCGGGTTTGGATTAGAGACGTTCATCTAGCAAGCCCACACAAATATTCCCAAGTCTGGGAAGCTCGAAACTGGAAACACTCCTGATCCTCAGCTCCTCCAGTCTGCACTGTGCGTCTGTTTGCCCAACTCATGGACAGGGGAGGAGACAGGAAGGTGAAATAACAGGTCTCCCGTCACAGAGCCGCCAGGTGAGGGCGCTAGCGGGATCCAGAGCCGTCTGACCTGAGTCACTCATGTATATGACTGCAATGTTAAGAAGGTATTTAAATAAAGAAATCACAATTAGAAATTAAGTCTCCATGAAAACAAACTTGCAGGTAGGGCCGGGGATTTAGCTCATGGTGCTGTGCCTGCCTCACAAGTGCAAAGTCCTGAGTTCGATCCCCAGTACCAAATAAATAAATTAAAAAAATAAAGAAAAATTGCCAAGCATGGTGGTATACAACTACAATCCCTGCACTTGGGAGGGTGAAGCAGGAAGATCACCACAGTTACAGGCCAGCCTGGGCTACACAGTGAGTTCAAGGCCAGCCTGAACTACAGAGCAAGGCCTCATCTCAAAAACTTAAAGAAGGAGAAACACTGGTGGCAGGGCTGGGTGGTGTCTCAGTGAGACACGCCTGCCTCACCCACAGCGGCCAACGGGTTTAAGCCCCAGGACCGCTGTGTCCCCTCACCCCCCAGTGCAGACACCCGAGGCACACAGGCCTTACCAGAGCCCCACAGGCTCTCTGTCTCCTCCAAAGCTGCCAGGGCAAAGTTCTTCCTGCCCTACCCTCCACTGGGAGTGAAAAGGACCCTTTATTCCTTTACTAATGGGAAGACTTCGATCATGGCCTTTGCCAGAGCCTTAAGAGCTGCTTACACAAGGAAAGAGAAACAAAATCTCGGCCGGGGATGCAGCTCAGCACTGCCAGCCTCGAAAGTGCAAGGTTCTGAGTTCGATCTCCAGTACAAGGGAAAAAAAGAAAAAAAGAAAAGTGAAGAGAAGCACATACCAGACCTGATACACACTGAAAAGGAAAAAAAAGCAAAACCCAAACAAGCAAACACCAACTACCCCAAAACCACAATAAAAATAAAATATTTTATGCCTTGGCAATCAGGATTTGCAAAATAGGTGAAAAGAACTCCTAAGGACAGCCTAAAGTGTCCACATAGTCTTCACTGTCCTTTTCATAAATTTAAATAAATCCCTCCGTGGGCACTGAGGGAAGTGGAAGTAAAAGGAGTTGAGACGCGTGGGCCCACTCCGCCGCGAGGGCGAGCTCCGCGCCGCAAACACAGACTGGTAAAAATGAACGCTGGTAATAAACACGGGAATCGCCTCTGAGACGAAACGGCAAAGCCCTTCTCCCACCCTGCCTTAGCATTAAAAGTAAACGCTTTAAAAATTGGCCTTGAGTAATAAGCTAAAGAATAAATGCTATATAATGTATCTTTCTACACACTCAGTTCTCAAATACATCCAAGTCTTCACATAAACCTGACCAAAATGAGTACTTACCATCCAAAGCAAAAAAATGCAAGATAAAGGCCCAGAAGGGTAGCGACCACATGTCTTATGAAAGAACTGGTCTTGCTCGAGTGCAGATAAGCTCGAAACCAAACAGCCGCCAACAAGGCCAGGAGCTGGCACACCACGAAGTTGACCTGCAAACAGAGATTAGAACTGGGTATTAGCAACAGACGCGAACTTTCTCATTTGAATTCTCAAAACACACTCAGACACACACACAGACATGCACACTCACGGTCACACACACATGGACACACACACAGACACACCCCACTACGGTTAGGCGGAATTCAATCTTCCAGAGCGGAGACAAAGTGACCGTGGCCAGTGTGCCCTGGGCCCACACTGCTGCGGCTGGGGGCACCTGAAGAGCCCAGAGCAGCCCCCGGGGGCAGGGAGGGCAGGGAGGCCACCGCTCAGGGACACACAGGGCAGCGCCAGCCCGTGAGCCTCTGGAGCAAATACACTGGAAAGATGAGAGACGGCACTTATCTGACTCAGCTTCTTACAGCTTAGGGTCTTCCAGACACCTAAACGCCTTCTCTCAAGTATCTCTTAATTTAACAGAACTTCAGAGCAGCTGTGATGGTAAACACATAGGACATCCAGAAGTGGTAAGTCCCAGCACTAGCCGGGGTAGGTGTTTTCTCTCTGTGTGTCCCGCTCCCCTCCCCCTTCCTTATTTTTATTTGCCCAGGGTAATTTTAGAACCTAATCACCACCACCACCACCACCACCACCACCACCACCAAAAGCCATGTGGAAGAAGCTTCAGTCAAGGGAGGCCCTCTGGAAGCGTGATGAGAGCCTCAGGGACACAGGAGGGCAGGAGGCCGAGGTCCCAAAGTGGTAACAGCGCCTGGAGCAGGGCTTCTGCCCTGCAGGCCCAGTCAGCGCCCTGGAGCTGCTCTTCTGTCCTCACCCCCCACCCCGCCTGCACCGACTGTACTTGGGGCTCCTGATGGGAGGATCTCCCAGAGCAGAGCCTGTGTGACCATCCGCTGTCGGCATTGGCCTCTCAGGCCGAGAAGTGAGATCTCGCCTCACCCCAGGGCCTGAAGCCGAACCTCTGCTGACCAAAGGTCTATTCAGCACCCGAACCACACACCCCAAATAAGAAGACGCCCGGAAGGTAAGCCCCACCCCAAAATAAGCCCTGGGGAAGATCGGCAGACACTGTGTGTACAACACACCATGGCCACACTCAATTACAAAGTAGTAACATTAGAATATAATTAAGTACAAATATTACTGGCCCGAATACTTGAAACAAATGATAATATAAATTAGAACGAAGGATTGAAAATACCCAGGTGGTGCCTCCGGACGTGAACAGCTGAGCTCCAGCTTTGCTGCCGAGTGGCCACGCATGAGTGGCGCCACCCTGGGCACAGAGGCTGCTCCCGGCAGTGCCCATGCGTCTTCAGGATCCGGCAGTGGGTGTTGTACCAGGTGTACTCAGGCACTCGTGTGAAACAAAAGAAATATTTCCTTAATTTTATGCCTGGGATTTTTCGTCGTTTTTGAGCAGATCATCGTTGCTGCCACTCCTGTCGCATACGTCTTCCGATAACACTTGATCGCATGCAAAGTCTGTTTCGCCGGCCTGCACGAGGTGGTGACTTGGTTGAAGAGCTCATGGGGTGAAATCCCTGCCGGCCGTGCTGCCACTGCACCCACGCAGGCCACATGGGCAGGAAGTGCCCATCTAAGGAGAGCTCCACCGCTGGACACGAGAGATGGGGCCAGAGGTTCTACAGGAGACGCAGCCCAAGACACGCAGGCCGGAGCTCGGGGGTTGGAGAGTTATGATGATGCTCCAGAAGATGATGCGGCTGGATTTGACGCAAAAGCTAGGGATCTAGCTCAGGGGTTCCACCGCCTGCCTTGAAAATGCAATGTCCCGAGTTCAATCCCCGGAACCAATAAATGAATGAATGAATGAATGAACGAATGTAGACTCCGGTATGTGAATACATGTAGATCATTGCAAATGAGAAAATGAGACACCTCCTGAAAAAATAAGCCCTACTGCATCTTTTGGAGCAAAAAGGGACTATTAAGACCAGGTCTCATTTTGGGAAAAATACAGTATCAAAGTATTTTAAATACACTCACTGAATAAAATATATTGTGGACATTTGCTTCACGTTTTCCTTTTAATTTTATACATTAGTATATCTCATCTACTGATTCAAAGTTTTTCTCCCTTTTGTGAAAAAAGCATAGAAACTGACACATGCTCCAAGCCAGTCCGTTAAAGACCTCTCCATTACAGCCAGGCCTTCCAAGACACACCACTCAATGACTAACGATAAATTTAGAGCAAAACCACTTACAGTTCAAGACAGCTCAAAACTGTTACCATCTTCAACAAATCGAGAAGAGCAGCACATGCCTGTAACCCGGCTCACAGGGAGGAGGCTGAGGCAGGAGGATGGCAAATTCAAGTACTATTTGAGCAATTTATAGAGACCCTGTCTCAAAAATACAGTGAAAATCTGAGGTAAGAAGGGCCGAGGATGCAGCTCCACGGTAGGCACCCTGGGTCTGCTCCCCTGGGAAGGTAAACATAGAAAAGGTAATCCCAGAAGCAGCCCAAGTCAGCGTTCCTTCCAAATCTCTCCCAGGAGTTCACAACACTGACACTGTGCCCTAGTCCTGTGAGTAGATTGGACGAGCTCTCCTCTCTCTCCAAGGCCACTGCCAGGGTCTGCCGACCCCGGGAGGGGAGCGGGCGCAGAGGGGCAGGGGCAGCCAAGGCCCAAGGCCAATGTGCTCAGGGCCTGTCCTGGCTGCCGCCTGCTGTGCCCCCTCCTTCCCTGTGGGCCTGGCTGCATAATAATCACCTGGACAGTAGTCAGAATCAGGCTCTTGGGTCCTAGGAGCCCAGAATACTTCATTCCTCGTGTTTGAAACTGGGCCTTTTAAAAAACTTCCCCAGGGCAAAACTCATATGCCGCTCTCAGGCACACAAGAGTCACCACAGAGCACTCCTGAGAGACCAGCCTCAGAGCCAAGCAGGGATGCTGGCCAAAATCCAAGGTGGAACCATGAGAAAATCCTTATGAAGTTGGGCAGTGCATGCCTATAGCCCCAGCGCTCTGGAAGGCTGAGACAGGAGGATGCAAGTGCAAGCATGGCCTGGGCTACTTAGCAACTTAGTGAGACCCTGTCTCAAAATAAAAAATGTTTAAATGTGGTGGGGATGTAGCTCAGGTCCCGAGTTCAATCCACAGTACTGCAAATAAATAAGTCAATCATTATGAGAAAGTAAACAAAAGTTAAACTCAAATAAGAGTTTACCATTACACCATTACACAGTACGCCCGTAAGATTGCCAAAATTTGAGTCTGATCACATCAAGTGTAGTTTGCAGTGCCAAGCCATAGGGTCCTCATTCCTGGGGGACAAATATTTTAGAGGATTGCTGCAGCTTTCTTCCAGGACTGTGGATGCTCACCTCCATGGCAACCACCCCACCATTTCTGGGTGTGACCTGAGGACCAGAGGAAATGGGTACCAGAATGTCCGCGTGTGTCCTCCATCACAGCCAGGCAATGCGGGGAGAAGCACTATGGGAAACGGCCAGATACAACCTCTCAGCACCCCAAACCGAAGGACAGAGTCGCAGGCACTGAACACAGCAAACGATGCCATTCGAAAAACATCCGCGCACCTCCAGGCCCACTGAGAATACAAACATCGGAAGTTCCCAAGAGCCAGCGATACTTTGCAGATGGGGCACCTGCCAAAGTTATAAAGCATCACCGAGGTCCCTGGAGTGGTCATCTCCAAAGGCAGCGGACAAGTGGCACGGCCAGAGTAGTCACAGTGGAAGGGGCCTGCTAAGGTCCTTACACTTTTTTGTTTATTTATTTACTTATTTATTTTTGGTTTTTTTGAGACAGGGTAGTTGAGGCTAACCCGGAACTATGTAGCCCAGGCTGGTCTCGAACTCACAGCGATCCTCCTGCCTCAGCCTCCCGAGTGCTGGGATTACAGGCGTGTGTCACCATACTGGGCTTAAGGTCCTTACACCTTACACAACAGTCATGGTAACTCGGGCTATGATAAAATCGCCCTGCCATGAGCCACATGCAGGGGTCTCTCAGAGGACTGACCTACTTGTCTTCTAGGACACAAGCAAACCTGTCCCTGTCCCTGTCCCAGAAGGTAATGCTCCTGCTCCCGGCAGCCAACAGTCCCCTTCCCACCATCAGCCAGGCCAGCTGGGGGCCCCAGCCTCTCTCAGACTCTGCCTCTGCCAGTTCATTCGGACGCCAGCATGGCACCGAAGTAAAGGAAGACAGGGACGTCTGCTCTCAACACAGCGGCTTCTCAAGTCAAAAGTATCCATCCGGAGTTTTCTGAAAAGCACCATGAGCCCCTCTGTTGTCTAGATTTTAGAAACAGAGCTGCTTAGGAACTTGTTACGTGCTGAAAATGTTAAAAGCCATTAAGAAGATTCCAAATAAAAAGTTCTAAGTATAGCGCTCACTTCGGCAGCTCATATACTAAAGAAGTTCTAAGTATAAATGGAGAACAAAAAAGGCTCCATGAACAAGACGCTCACCTTCACTACTCTCCCTGAGGCGCAGGGAAGAAGAGTGCCTCTCAACTTCACACACAACCCTCTGTAAAAGCTGGGGACAGAATGTTCAGTGCAGTCCCCATTGAGTAATGGGCTTTCAATGTTCAAACAATACCAAGAATTATATAATGTCTCCTTGGCGCCGCTATCAAAACAACCCTTAATGAGCTCTTTCCTCTTCTTCATCAAAGTTCATCATTTGGCCCAGGCAATCCCCCTGCCTCAGCCTCCTGTGTGCTGGCATCACAGGCATGCATCACCGCACCTGGCTGGTTTACACATTCCTACTTCCAAGTGCCACACACCAAAACATCTGCCATATGAGTGTGCCTTCCACACGCCAAAGCCCTCCCTTCCTTCCCGTCCTCTGCCCGCTGCTCGGACAGAACACTCAGGGAGGCTGTCACAGCAGAACCACCTTGAGTGTCCCAAATGAGGTCACTGTCCCATGTCCCGCCAGGCCTCAGCTGCCCGCTGTCTCAGCCCTGCTCTCGGCTCCACATGCGTGTGACAGGACACCGAGCTCTCGAGTCCCCTTCCCTCCGCCCAGGCTCCAGCGGCAGGATTGGGGGAGACCTGGCCAGCTCTGTAGGTGACTGAGGCCAGCAGCCGTCACACTCAGAGGAAGTGGCACTTGCCACCCCTGCCACCCGCCGTGGGGATGCTCTGCCCAGCTCCTGGCAATCAGGGTCACTGTACCTGTCCTGCCTAAAGGGCCCTACCGAGCAGGCCCGGAGGGGCGCAGACAGGAAGGACCTGGGCTCCCCAACCTGGTCTGCGGCCTCGGGCCGGACCATGAGACACGGAAGTCACCTTCACACCCTCAGCAGCCGGCTGTGGTGTGGGACAGCACGTCTGCAGGCTGGAAGGAAAAGCCAGCCATCCCCGTACAGCACAGGGCTCCGTGACCAACAGTGGGGAGGAGCTGCCGGTGGGAGCATGGGGACTGCTGCACTGCCCGCTGTCCATGTGCCCCAGAGCTGTGCCCATCTGGAGAGCAGCAGGCCACAGAGTCCCAGGTGTGAGCACCAGCCGGGCCCACAGCACAGCAAGACCTGTCTCCAAAGGCAGCCAGTGGAGTGATCTGGGGTGACCCAGCGGTAGTTTATTTCTAGATGCCACTGGTCTGCTAGGACATTTAGAATTAACCGAACTCCTGCTGGTCCCGTCCCATTCACCACCCAACCCTGGCTTTGCTCGCTGTGTGGACCACGCTCACCTGCACAAGGCTGCACAGGTCCTCGTTTGCCAAGACCGAGCAGACCAAAGCTCCAGACACTGTCCCATAGGTAAACTAAACTTTAAATTGGGTGGGGTGGTGCACGCCTGTAACCCCAGCATTCTGGAGGCTGAGGCAGAAGGATCACTAGTTGAAGGTTAGCTGGGGCTACATAAAGAGAACTTGTATCCAAAAATATTTAACTTCAACTAATTTTTTAAAAATATGTGATTGTCAAAATGAGAACTCTGGCTGGGCCTGGTGGCCCACACCTATAACCCTAGCATTCCGGAGGCTGAGGCAGGAGGATTGCCCATGAGTTCAAGGCCAACCTGAACCATATAACCAGACCCTGTCTCAAAAAAAAAAAAGATAACTTGATAACATAATGACTCTTGAACTTAGTATCTTAAAACAGCAACATTTCTTTTGTCCTTGAATCTTCCATTTGGACGAGTTACCTTCCCGAGCACCCTTCTTGGGATGGGCCAGATTCTGGAATTATCTCCAGGCTTAGTCATTCACAGGGCAATCGGAGAGGCCTCAGTCTGGGGTGCCCGACCAAACACTGAATGTGGGCTCCCTCACAAGGGAATTCAGGCATTCTGGGAACAAGAGAGACAGAAGCACAGCCACACTCAGATGGAGGTTGTATCCTTTTATTTTTATTTATTTATTTATTGGTACCAGGGCTCAAACTCAGGACCTTGCGCTTGCAAGGCAGGCTACGGCACCACTAAGCTAAATCCCTGGCCCTGTATCCTTTATTTTTTTATTGTTTCTGGGTTTTTGGTGTTCTGTTGTTTTTTTTAAACAGGGTCTCATGATCTAGTTCAGTCTGGCCTTGCACTCATTGTGTAGCCCAACCTGGCCTCAGTCTTATGGCTATACTCCTGCCTCAGCCTCCTGAGGAAAGCTATATCCTTTTAATGACCTGGCCTCAAAGGTAAGCCAGCATCACTTCCAACACTATCCTGTTAACAACAGTACCCAGTTACAACAGCTTCCTTAGGCAAACAACCAAGTGAAACACAGCAGCACACATCTTGCCTCTGTCTACCCTTGGAGCCACATTTTACTGTTTCTTTTCTCTGGGAAGGCTAATTCACACCCATCCACACCAGAACTCCTTTCACTACAAAGCCATGGAGGAAAATTTAGTGTCAGTGGACAGCGGAGTCCTTTGGGAC